TCGGGGCTGCTGCCAAGACGGCTGAGCAGGGCCTCGGCTGCAGGGGCTGAACTGGCTTGGCTGTTGTGGCCACCCTGTGGCTGTGTGGGCCCATCTGTGCCACTGGTTGCTGCCTCTGTAGGAGGAGCAGGGACCTCCGTCAGGGCTGCCATGAGACATGACCACTGAGCAGGTGGCTTAAAACAGCAGGGACCTGTCTTCTCTCCTAGGGGTTAAATCTGGAGGCCGAAGTCTGAAGTCCAGGTATCTGCAGGGCCGTGTTCCCTCTGGGGGCTCTAGGGGAGGTGTCTGTCTCAGCTTCTGGTGACTTTGGGCTGTCCCTTGTGGTCCTTGACTGATGGCCGTGCCACTTGAGCCTCTGTCTTTGCACGGCCTCCTCCCTGTGTCTCAGGTCAGTCAGTCACTGCCTGGGGTCACCCTGGTACAGAGTGGCCTCCTCTTACCTGAGCCACATCTGCAAGGATGATTCAGAACAAGATCATTTGTAGTCACAGGGTTTAGGACTTAAACGTGGCTTTTCACCCCAGGCCCCAGGCTGGGCTCCACCTGGAGGGGATCTGGAAGAGCAGGGGTTGCGGCCAGCCTTTTGGGTGCCTGCCCTGAGGCTGGGGCAGTGGCTCCTCACAGTCCTCCAGGGTCTACTTGCTTGTTCTGTCTAGGGTGCCATCCCTCTGCCTCTGGGCAGGCATGGCAGAGCCACTGCTGCAGGACACTCCTGGGACGGGTCCTGGCCAGTCCATGTGTGACGTCGAGGTGGCCAAGGCCATGGAAGGATGCGTGTCTTGATCTGTGCCTTAAACTATTTCTGGTTGAGGTGGTTTGAAATCTGAAAGCCCACTGAGCCCTTGTCCAGTCGCTCTTCCCTTCCCAGGAGCACCGAGGGCTCTCAGAGGCGCGCGCGCTCAGGTCACCTTGTCCCCACTGGCCTGTGCCTGGCTGTGTTTTACCTGACCTTGCGTCTCAGACCTTCCTGCCTCTTGCTCAAGCAGAGTGTGATCCATGGTGTGAAGACTGCTGAGGTTCTCCGTGCTGACAGGGGGCAGCTGCCCAGCCTCTGCGTCACAGCCGTCTTTGCACAAACAGCTGGGACCACGCTTGGTTTATGGGGGCAGAGGTACCTGAGGGGCAGCTGCCTGCAGGTGGAACTGCTAGCCTGGGCACGCTGAGCATGTGGGGTTTTGATGGCTGATGCCAGTCTCCTTCCGTGAGGCTCATCAGAACTGCTCCATTCTCAGGTGGCCATTTTTCTTCAGATGTTTCTGGACAGCTGAACACAGGCGGGACGGTGGGGAAGGCCAGGTGTGCCTGATCATGGCGGTGGTTTGGCAGCTGTGGCTTGGAAGCCCCGCAGGCAGGTGCAGGTGAGATGAGGAAAGTTCTGGATGTCTCAGGGCTTCGTGTGCCAGACTGTTCTGCAGACAGGAAGAGCCCTGGAGTCTCAGCCAACCTCACAAATCTCCCTGGGGGCGGCCAGGTGAGCGGTGAGTCAGCACCTGGGTAGAAGCCGGGCGATCTCCCCAAACACCCATCTGAGTGTGGCCCCTGCTTGAGTGTCCCCCCCGAGGGTCCCTCCTTCCAAAGTGGAATCCAGGCTGTCCCCAGCCTCGTGTGGCAAGCACGGGTCTCTGATTGCACCCATCTTGTCCTCACCCCTGTGTGGGCCTCATGCCAGCTTCCTGGGGTTGCTTTATTTCTGAAACTCACTGCTGGCTTTGGGGTGGGACCCCCTTTGAAGCCCCCCTTCTCCCTGGAATGTTCGGTGATCCCTGGCTCACCCTCCAGGACATGGCCAAAGTGTCACTTCCTCTAGGAAGTTTTCCCAGAGCCTGGGGTGGCTCCTTGACCTGTGTTTGCTCAGCTTCCCGAGGGCCCTTGTCATCGACTTGCTGCCCACACCAGAGAGGTTGCTGCTGAGGGAGGTGGCCCCAGGGGTAGCCTTGGGCCCCTGCCTGGTCTGTTCACCCCACGCTGATGGGACAGATGTTCTGACCTGGATGGGAGCAGCTGGGATAGAGGCGGGGGTAGGAGTGAGTCAGCAGCCCCAGCTCTGCTGGCTTCCAGGGCTTCTGGTGAGGACTGAGCCGCCAGGCCCGGGGAGGCGGCTATGCAGGAGCCTGTCACTGGGCTGATCAGTGGCCTGTCCCTGGGTTTCTGGGCTCTGTGTAGAGGCAGGGAGTGCAGGGTGGGCATGGGGGGGTTGTGTCTCAGCAGCCTCCCAGGACCGGGTCAGCCTGTCAGTTAGATGGTGAGCTTGGGACATCAGGCTTTGGAACACCTGGGAGCTTAGCCTCCTGGACGTTCCTGCGGCCGTCCCACCCTATGTGCGGTCCACGTCCCCTCCCAGCGGTGGCACCGCTCTGCCAGGACGTCTCCTCTCCTCCTGTTAAGACTGTAGAGGAACACGGGACCCTTCTCCTGCCTGTGTTGTTAAAACCGAGGAACCGAGAGCTGCCGGGGGGCCCTGTGTCCTCCTGGCTCCCCCTGCACCTGCCTGCTGGAGGGGGTGCTTCTTGGCTAGCGGGGGTGTGGTGGGGGCTAGGAGGGCGGGGAGGCAGATGCTGGGGCAGGGCTGGAGAGGGTGGAGGAAGGCGAGGAATCTAGGCTGGGCTGTCGGGGGGAGCGTCCTGTTGTGGGGCAGGGGCACGAGCTGGGTTTTGGGCCTCAGTCAGGAATGAGGTCCTTTGTGCCTAGACTGACCTAGGCGAGGCCCGTTCCTGGGAGACCAGTTGGTCTAGAGAGTTAGGACAGCCTTGGTGCAGGACCCAGGGCCAGAGGGAAGGTGGTCAGGCTGGGGGTGACATTTGGCATCCCTGGTGCTTATTCCCATGGGGTATCACCAAGGGCCAGAGTCCCTGGGGTCGGCAACAGGGTGTTGGTGGCTCAGCGTCCCTCACTTTGAGCCTCCGGTTCTTTGAAGTCGCCCCAGGTCCTTCCTTGGCCCCGGCGCTGTCCCTGGCTGCCTATCTCCAAGGCCCCGGCTGCTTCCTTCCTGGGTACTGGCTGGAGTCCTTTCCTTCTCGGCTCTGCAGCCCTTGGCCTGTCCTTCCTCTCTCCGGCCTGCAGCATCACCCTTGGTCAGCCTGCCGTCTGCGGCCCCCTGTTCAGACAGGCCAAGCTTGGCTTGTAGAGGTGGACCGGGTGCCCCTCCAGGCTCCGTGCTCCTGTGGAAAGCTGAGCCGTGTTTTCTCCCTGCCCTGGAACTCGGCAGGGCCCTGTCTCCCCAGCAAGCTGCAGTTTGTCCCGTGCCCAAAGCAAGGCAAGCTGGCATATGGAAAAGGGACCCCCTGCCCGGTGCAGCCAGATGCAGGAGGCCCCTTCTGCTGACATGGAAACAGAATCAAAGGACATCGGCTGCTGGCCGCTTCTTAACTCAGACTTTAAAAAGCTCAAAAACCGAGGCTGGGGCTGTAGCTCAGTGGTAGAGCGCTTGCCTGGCATGTGTGAGGCACTGGGTTTGATTCTCAGCACTGTGTACAAATAATTAAATAAAACAAAGGTCCATCAACATCTAAAATATATACATATATTACAAAAAGATGTTTTAAAAAACTCAAAAACCCTTACTAGCAGAAACTCAATTTTTAAAAATACTGAAATACTTTTAGGTGAACATTAGAAGCAGGTGAAGTTCCTCTGTGCTCTGGGGTTCCCTGGTGCCCATCACGCATGGCACTGCTCCTGGTCTCCATGGGCTACCCTGGCCCCCAGGGGCCCTTGGGTCCTACCTGGTGCCAAGGCCAGAAGCCACACTTCACCCAGAGTGAAGGGTGACTTCATGTACACAGCTGTCAGTCATTTGAGGGGATCCACACTCACTTGCTTTAGAAAGTGTCACCTGTTGGCTCTGGGAGCCCAGCCAGGTTGGCTCGACCCTTGCAGAAGAGAGGATGTGCTGCTGGATCCTGTTCTCCGAGCGCTTCCTATGTGCAAGCCACTGCTGAGGGTTTGGTTTGCCTGCCCATGGCCAGGTGAGGCCAGCCTGTCGCGATGCCCGGTTCACAGTGAGGAAATGGAGGGATGCGCTTTGGCAGCTGGCCCAGGACACCCAGCTGGCAGGAGCTGGAACCAGGCCTGTTCTCCAGAGTCAGACTTGCTCAGCCTCTTGATCAGCTTCTCAGCTGCTGGGGCCGGGCTGGAGTTGCTTGGGGTGCATTGGTCTGAGGCCCCAGTGTGCTGGTCTGAGGGCGGGGATGCTGGACCCCCAGGCACGTGCCCTCTGCCCGTCACCTGACTCTGGGCTTGAAGATGGATTCATTAGCCCTGCAGTTTCCTGGGAATGCGCCAGGCCCTGCTAGGGTTGCCTGTGGTAGGACTGTCACACTGGCTCCTTGGGATTCTGGCCATTTAGTGGCACTTCTATGCTGAGAGTGTACACAGCGAGGATAGTGGAAGCTGCAGCTCTGAGCTGGCCTGGACCCCACGTGGACTGGGAGGGCTCCCTACCACGTGGACAGAGAGGGCCAGAGGTCCCCTGTTGACGGGTCCCAGGGGGCTTGAAGCTGTGACTTGTGTCCAGTTCTCAGGTCAGTCATGGCTGCCCATAGGCTCTGGGACTCCTGACCGAAGCGGTGGTCCCTGAATTAGCTTTTGGGGTCACTGTCTGTGTCCTGGACGCCTGGCACTCTGGGGATGCCAGCAGTTGAGCTGTTGCCTGCTTCGTGGCTTTGCTGATGCTGCTTTACAGCCCCACCTGTGTGCTGCCCCGCTCAGCAGTGGCGCTGCCCGCGTTGTCTCGTGTGGTTCATCTTCCACAGTCGGGTGGGCAGGGCCTCTGTGATGCCCAGTTTGCAGGGCAGGGTTCTCCTCACAGGCTGGTGCCGTGGCTCTAGAAGGGAGAGGACTGTGGAGCCCCTTCCGTGGCCTGTCAGGTTGGCACTCGCTCTGACGAGCACAGCACATGGGGAGACCCTAGACCTACAGAGTTCTCCTCCTTCCTTGGGGAGCCATTGAGCCCTGTGGGGGCCTCCTCCACTCACCCCATTTCTTCTCTCCCGTCCCAGGATCATGCGGCCAGATGATGCCAATGTGGCTGGCAATGTCCACGGCGGAACCATCCTGAAGATGATCGAGGAGGCGGGCGCCATCATCAGCACCCGGCACTGCAACAGCCAGAACGGGGTAGGCACGGGCCGGACCTGGCCAGCCTGGTCAGGCACGAGCTTCTGCACCCCAGAAGCCACGCCAGTGAGGGTCAGGGAAGGCGTTTGCATGGGACCCGGGTCTGAAGCCTTCCTTTCCTTGCCCCACAGGCCTGGCGGCTCCTGGGGGCTGCAGCCCAGCAGCCCTGGGTAGGACCTTGGAATGGTGTTTGATTGTGGAAAGGCTGAGAGGAGCTGGCAGGCACCGAGAGGCTGTTTTTAGTCAAACTTTTTTGTCACTATGAGCAAAACACCCGATAAGTGCAACTTAGAGGAGGAAGTTTTTTGGGGACTCCTGGTTTCAGGGGCCTCAGTCCATGGGCGGCCGGCTCCACTGCCCTGGGCCCACCGCGAGGCACACGTCATGGCCGCAGGGCCCCCAGAGGGACGCTGTTCCCCTCCTGGCAGCAGGAAGCATAGAGAGAGCCTGGGAGGGAGAAGGGTGGGGGAGGAGCTGCAGGGAAGGTGCAGGGGTCCAGGGCAGCCCGTGACCCTCCTCCCCTAGCCCGCCCCACCTGCCTGCAGGCCTGGTCAGGACGGCCTGGTGGGGTCCCTCGTACTCTGGTCACTTCACCTCTGAACGTTCCTGCGTTAGTGGAGGAGCTCCGGGGGACGGCAGGTCCTCTCACCATCCTGCCCAGTTACGGGTCCCGGGAGCTGTGTCTCGAGTCCCATTGGCTCACTTCTGGTCTGAAGCAGAGCAGGCCTCTGTGGGGTGTGGTCTGTCCTGATGGCTGAGAGCCGAGATGACTGGGATAGACAGCCGGTGACCAATGCTGTGGCTCTCTGGACCTCAGCCACTTCCTGTTGCTCTGAAGCCCAACAGGTCTACACAGCGGGGCCTGATGGGCCCACCCTCTGCCCACCCCTGCAGCTGCACAGTGAGAGGCAGTGTGTGGCCAGGGTGGGGTGGGCAGGGTCTGTGGCTAGTCGTCTGCCATGCCTGGAGAGACAGAGAGCAAGGGAGGACACACTGTCCTGCTGCAGCTGCTGCATCTTGGGGCCAGGCAGAGAGGTGGCACCGCGGGGGACCCATGGCTGTGTGCTCTGGGCCATGTGAACCCCCCTGCTGGGCTTCCTGGGCAGAGGGGGAGAAACCACAGGACCCCTCCAGGCGCTGCAGTGGGCACGAGGTCAGTCTGCTCCACCAGGGGGCTGAGAGGAAGTGAGGTCAGAGGCTGGGGACCCATGGGGGTGCCACTAGTTCTCTGGGAACAGGTGGGCACAGTGGAAGAGGGACATGTGGGCTGAGCCATCACCTGCCGTCTGCGGGTGGCACGCTCTGTACGAGTTGGCTGGGGCGTCTTTGGGGTTGGCTGGGGCGTCTTTGCGTTGAGCAGGCCTGTGGTGCCCTTGTTTTGAGGGAATGTGCACACTTTGTGTCACCCTGTGGGGATTCTTGAATATTTCAAAGTTTTCATTATTTTATCTGTTCTGGTGATCTGTGGTCTTTTTTTTTCTCTTTTGAGTGGGAGCGGTGCTGGGGATGGAATCCGAGGCTCACTCATACCAGGCAAGTGCTCCACCGTTGAGCCACACCCTGGTCCTGATCTTTTTTTTTTTTTTAGTACTGGGGATTGAACCCAGGAGTGCTTAACTGCCGCAGTCTGGCTGGGCACAAAATAACCAAGCTGCCACACCGTCCACGGCACCTCTTACCGGTTTCACGCCCTCTTGAATTCTCTCTTCAAAGTTCTTTTCAGCTTTCCCTTAGGGTACTTGTTGACTATGGTCTTGCGCCAGTATTTAGCCTTAGATGGAGTTTACCACCCGCTTTGGGCTGCATTCCCAAGCAACTCCGGGAAGACTGCCCGAGGCAGCAGGATCAGCCCTAATCCTGGAGCCACCCTATTCCCAGCAGGATCCGCCCTAATCCTGGAGCCGCCCTAATCCCGGAGCAGGGTCACCTTTCAACCATTCCCTCTAGCAAAATGCCAGGTGTCATTCCAACTAAACTGTGGCTCTCAACACTTAACCACTGAGCCACATCCCCAGTCCTTTTTTAGGCTTTTCATATATTTTACATCACTTGGTGAGACAGGCTTTCAACCTCACTAAGTTGCTGAGGCTGGCCTTGAATTTGTGATCCTCCTGCCTCAGCCTCCCAAGGCACTGAGATTACAGGCAGGCACCACCACGCCCAGCCTGATCAGTGAACTTTGGTGTCACTGTCCAGTTGTTTGGGGTGCCATGAGCTGCACCTCTCTAAGTGGTGTAAGTGGGTAAACTTCATCATGAATGTGCGTGTGCTGACTGTTCCACCAGCGGTCTCCCTGTTCTTGGGCTTTCCTGCTCCTTGATACATAATGATGCTGAAACCAGAGCAGCTGGTAACTCCGCAGTGGCCTCTGCAAGTTCACCTGAAAGGAAGACTCACACGTCTCCCTTCAAATCGAGCTAGAAACGGCTACGGTGGGAGTGGACGGCGTGATGAGTGGACGGCGTGGGGAGCTGCCCAGACAGCCGAGGGCTGGGGAGCTCTGCAGGCGGAGGACGCTCTGGGAGGGGTGCTGAAAGCCACCTGTCAGGTGTTGGCTGTCACCGGGGCAGACACCTGAGAAGAACATCTTAGAGGAGGACAGGTTTGTCTTGGCTCAGGAGACTGGCTCAGTTGCCTTGGGCTTGAGGTGAGATAGTCACCATGAGGTGACCTCATGGTGACTGGAGGGTGTGGCATGGGGGACTGTTAAGCCCAAGGCAGCCAGGGAGGATCCAAGGGCAAGACACACCCCTCAGAGGCACATCCCCCACCTCTTCCAACCAGGCTTCCCCTCCTGAAGTTTCTGTCACTTCCCAACAGCAGCACTGGCTGCAGGCCCAGCTGTTGACTCATGCCCTCTGGCACCTCTTAGACCCAAACCTTCACAAGCCTGATTGCTGATCTGGAGAACGTCTCAGTGGTCTGGACAGAAGATCAAACCAGCCACAGCGTTCCCTTGAGCCAGGTATAGCCAGAGCCAGGCCCCCACTCTCCCTCCTGGGGGACCGAGAGGTGAGGCAGCTGCAGGAGAAACGGCCGAGGCTGCGGAGGTCGCTCCTGAGGCTCCACCAGTCCTGGTGCAGGTTACGCAGCAAGGGCGGTGAAGCAGCTCAGAGTTGTCCCCAGGATCCATCTGGGACAGCTGATGGAGCCGCTGCACCAGCAGCAGATTTCCAGTGTAGACGGAGCAGCCTTCTGTGGAAGCAGGTGCTGCCCAGGACTTTGATGGCTACGGAGAAGTTAGCGCCTGAGCAGGTCGTCAAAGGACAGCTGAATCCTTGTTAGGGGCAAAGGCAGCTGGTGACTTCAAGGGGAAGGTGAAGCCCGTTGGGGCCTTCCGAATGACACAGCTCTGCTGCCTGTGCTCCATAAAGGGAATGGCCAAGGCTGTGACATCCCTGTTGTCACGTGGCTTGCTGAGCACGTCCACCGTGGAGCCCGCTGCCTGAGAGTCCTTTCCAAGTGTTACTGCTCGCTGACAGCGCACTGGTCTCCTAGGGGCTCTAGGGAGATGCTCCGCGAGATTGATGTCCTTTCATGCCTGCCAACAGCCTCACTGTGCAGCTCCCGATCAGGAGTGACGTAGATCCTAGGTCTGATTATCACAGAGACACATTTCCTAAGGCCGTGGCTGCCATCAGTAGCGCAGAGCGCTTGCCCAGCCTGTGTGAGGCCCAGCACTGCACACAGCAAAGTACACTAAACAGTGTCCCTCTGATGGATCTGGGCAAAGTCAACAGGACGCCTCTGGAAAGGACCCGCCATTCAAGATGACATTAAGAGCATTTGGTACTCAGGGAGGAGATCAGAACACCAGCACTTCACCAGAGTCTGGACGGGGTTGATCCAGCGCTTGTGGCCCACTCGAGGGCTTCCGGATTCCAGTGGAGGAGGAGCTGCAGGTGCGGTGGGAACAGCAGGGGGACTGGAAGTGGGGCCTGACTGCTGCCATCTCAAGGGACAAGGAGCTGCCTCTTACAGATGAGCTACGAGAGCGCTGTCTGGAGATGGAGTCCACTGAGGGTGCAGGGAACGCTGCTGAGATGACGACAGAGGCTTGAGAATGTCACATAAACTAAGTTGAGGAGTGGCCGCAGGGATTCAGAGGATTGACTGTGACTGTGGGTATGGTGCTGTCAGCAGCGTCCCCTGCAGAGACCTTGGAGCGAAGTCAGTTGATGTGGTGAACTTCTGTCTTCTTTTAAGAAACTGGTGGGCTGCAGCCCAGTGGGAGAGCACAGCACATTGTGGGCGGGAACTGGGGTTCCATCCCTAGGACCACCCAAAAAACAAAGAAAGAAACCACCGAAGCCTCTCCAGCCACTGACCAGTCTGAGTCAGAAATGACAGGCAAGAGCCTTCACCAGCAGAGATTCTGGCTTGCTCAAGATGCAGATGATCATTAGCACTTTTGAGCATTGAAGTTTGTGTGTGGTGCTGGGGATGGAACCCCGGGCTGCTCGCGTGCTGGGCAGGTGCTCTACCCCTGAGCTGCAGCCCCCAGCCCCACGATAAAGTAACTTTCAGTAAGGTGTGTACGTTGCTATTAAGACACGATGCTGTCACACCTTGGTAGGTACAACGTAGGGCAAGTAGCTTCTTGTCGTGTCGCTTGCTTGATTTCCTTGGGCAGTGCTCTGGGACTGTCCTTGCCTCACCTCCACCTGTGCCTGGATGGGCAGGCCTGGAAGCCACAGACGGCTCTCCCGCCTCTCCACTGCCTCTCCTGGTGGAAGCTGTGAAGGACCTCTCTGCCGTCCCTTTTGAAGACCACTAACCTCATTCACGAGGGCTCCCCCCTCATGACCTATTCCCTTCCCCAAAGCCCCACTTCCTAAAACATGAGTTTCAACACATGAATTTTGGGGAACACGGACATTGTGACCGTAGTACGCACATTCAGCCCTCAGTGGTGGGCCCTGTTTTCCAGTTGGAGAAGCCAAAGCCCGCGTGCACAGAACGTGCCAGGCCAGGGCGCTGTGGACAGGTGGACGTGGGGGCCTGGCATGGTGGAGGAGGCTGGCCCACCTGGTCAGTTGGCTTTGTGCTATCCAGGGGGGTCAGGAGAAGCTGGGCTGCCACCAGGCCACATCAGAGCACCCCCTGGTGGCTGCAGGAGGATGGGCCTGCAGGAGGCCAGGAAGGAGTGGGCCAAGGCCCTGGTAGACCTTCAAGAGAAAGACAGTCCCAGGCAGGCCTGGCAAGAGCGGGTGACATGAGGAAGGAAGAGCCCCCAGGACTGGGGCATGGTGGGGCTCAGGAGACAAGGGGCACCCATGCAGCTGAGTAGAAACCACGTGGTCAGTAGTGTTGGCAGAGCTGGGAGAGCTTCCGCTCAGTGATCCTCGGGATGGCTGGAGATGTGGTGGCCTTGCTGTTCTTGTCATCCCTGTTGCACAGATGAGGAAACTGAGCCTGGGGAGAGGTGGAGGCCACCCCAGGGGTCGGATAGGTCTGGGCCATGAGTCCAGGCCTGGAACTCTGCTTGGAGCCCCTGTTCCTCTAGGCCTGCAGTGTGGAGGGACAGTCCAGACACCTTGGCTGGGCGAAGCCTCTGGGCAGGTGGACCCCAGAATAACGGTTTAGAGGTTCCAGGCTCAAGAGGGGTTTCACTTCCAGGCAGCCCCAGCACCTCTAGTTGCAAGTGGCTGAAGGCTGACAACTGGGGAACTTCACTAGGCCCTGGTGGTGGCCCCCAGCCTGCGACTCATACCACAGCGCCAGTCTCTGGACCTCAGTGTACCCCAGGCTTACTTCTCTTGCAGTGTCCTCTCCTGGTGAATGACCTTGCAAACCCTCATGACTCAGGTCAAAACCTGGGGTCTCCCTTGACACCTCTTTTTCTTCTCACACTCGTGACACTCCGAGGCAGCACATCTTTCTGGCTTATCTTCCGGGTGCAACCTGATCTGAGCACTGGCCAGCTCCAAGTCACCTCCTCTCTGAGCCTCCCTTGCCTGGTCCACCTGGTGTGAGCCTCCCGATAGGTCACCCCAGCAGTCCCTGCCCACCTCCCACCTCATCTGTGCTCCAACAGTCGCCAGAGTCCTTTACATGTGGAATCAGTGGACACCACTGCAGGGCAGCTCCCTTCTCTCGGAGTCAAGCCCAAGTCCCTGTCTGGCCCCAGCTCTGGGACCTCATCTCTTGCTGCTCTCCCTGCCTCAGGGCCTTTGCTCTGGCTCTTCTCCCTGCCTGAGGCCCTCTTCCCCAGGTACTCCCAGGCCCTTCCCTCTGCTGTCTGCGGTCTCTGTGCAACCCAGCACGCAGCCTTGCCTCCCCAGGACCTGGCCCCCTGCGAGGGCAGTGGTGTGTGTCCTAGTTCCCACAGGGTGCTTGGCCCAGCGGGCTGAGGCCGGCGCTGGATGCTGTGGGCTTCTGGAAGGTGTCTGCAGAGAGTGTGTCTAAGGAGCCCTCGTGATGTGCCTCTGCCCACCTGTGCCTGACCTTCCTCACCCTACGTGACTGTTCCTGCCAGTCAGCTGAGAGGCTTTGTTCTTAATCCTGATTTCCTGGTGAGGACACTGAGGCCTAGAGAAGTCCTATGCCTTTCCAGAGGGCACAGAACCTCCCTTCTGAGCTGCCCTCAGCCACAGGGGCGGGGGCAGGTAAGACAAATGGTGGTGGTGCAGGAGCTAGCACTGGGTGCGGACCTGGTACCGTGCAGCCAGGGTGGCCGCTGTCCCTCCCGGGCCTTTCATAAGCACTGCGTTTCCCCACTCAGAACCTGTGCAGCAGCCCGGTGGTACCGTTTATTAACTGTGCCTGTGAAGAGGCTGAGACTGCCCGACATCCCCGAGCTACTAGGCAGCAGAGCTGGCCCTTGAACCCAGCTCAGTCTCTGAAGCTACTGTCCTGCTGCAGCCCTGGGACAGATCGGGAATCCTGTCCACAGCTCCCCAGTGACAGAATGACACTAATTGGCTTCTGGGGTACATTGGAGGGCACTAATGGGGCAGATGCTGATGAGACTGCTCATGATCCTCCCCGAGGTGCCACTGCCCTCGCCTGCAGGCTCCGTGCTGAGTGTGAACGTTCCCAGGCCACATGTTGATTTCTGGGTCTACCGGTCGGTGGCAGTCTGGACTGGGTCCCACACCCTGCTAGGTCCTGGGAGACAGCCGCTCAGTCATATCAGAGCTGCCCTGGGTACGACTTCTGCCACTTGCACCCATCAGATGCAGTCACAGCAGCCCAAGTGCTGAATAGCACAGCTGCCTTCCCGCAGGGTTTCGCCAGGAGCGAGGCCGCAGCAAGGCTCCTGCGGCTGTGGAGCAGCTCCCTGCCCTTCTTCAGTGTTTTAAGTCCGGAGAGCAAGACTCAAGGTTCATAGGTGGCCTCCCAACAGGGAAGGAAGGGCAGGCACCAGGTGTCCCCACACCGGCCTGGTGGTAGCTGTGTGGAAGGCTCATGGGGGTCCAACCCTAGGAACAGCGCAGAGGAACTCTGGATTTTCCTCCTGCCACTAGTCACTCCATCTTGCAGCACTGCCTGGAGGACCAGCCTGAGCAGAGCGGCAGCCTTTGCTCCTCCTCGGCCCCGCTCGGGAGCCCTGGCCCTGCTCCCTGGAGTCCCCCCATCTCCCTGCCGACCCCTGGTCATTTGGGTCTCAGCATCTCCTTGTCTGATGTCTTCTCCCCACTACATCCCCGTGGGGTCTCCTGAGCCTCTACCCGACAGGACTTACGTGGTATTGACTTGATGACCACCCTGCCCTGGAGCCCAGATGCTCCGACTCGCCCCTGCAGGCCTGCAGAGGGCAGTGGCTGGCTCTGTACCCATCGCTGATGGAGTCTGCAGCCCACCCGTGTTCTGGAGTGCAGAAGGCTGCAGTGTCTGCCGGTCGACCACAAGTGCAGAGCGGGAGGTGCCAGGCCCCGGTCCCCAAGATGTGCATGTTGTGCATGTCTTGCGCGTGTGAGCAAGTCTGTACCATGACTTAACTTGAGCACTCCCGGTAACGGCCGCTTGCTTCGTCCAGCTTTCTGGTCTGCCAGCAGAGCTTGGGCTGTTAGTGGTGCTCCCAGACCCAGAGGTGGTGCCGACCTGTGCGGCTCCGTGCAGCCCTTGTCCTTCCAGCTTCCTGCCAGAGGGTGGTGCCATATCCACGCAGATGTTCCAGGCCAAGTCTGATTCCTGCCGCCGCCGCTGAAGCATGCGGGGCTGTGGGTGGGGCAGGCGCCCTGCAGTCAGTGGGGAAGCCGCTCTCCCCGGCCAGCTTGGTTTTAGGACTTCATCCAGGTGCCCCTGTTTTCTGCACAGCCCCAGTTGCCTGCTGACAGCTGTCCCGCCAGGTTTATGGTTCAGCAACACAGAGTCGCCTGGGAGAGGGTTATATTCAGGGTTCCCTGACTGCTTCCAGGGAGGCACGTTCTGACTTGTGGTGGGCCCTGGAACCGTGGTTCTCAGCCGCGCATCGTGCCACGGGTGGGGGCAGGCAGCTGGTGACTAGGTTGTGGCCCACACAGCAGGGCTTGGACTGCCTGCACCTGCTCACCTGTGACCATGGGCAGCTTGCCTGAGGTCTCAGCCTTGGAAAAGGGTGCAGTGACGATCGCTGTTGTCCCTACCCCTCCTGCCAGTAGCATCCTGAGGAAGACGGCAGTTTCCAGCAGAAAGTCCTGCAGTGCTGAGGAACCCCGGGAAAATGAGGCCCACGATGCCAGCTCCCACACAGACTCTCGTTCCGCCAGCATCGGTGAACAGGAGTCGGCCCTTAGTTCCAGTGAGGAAGTGTGTGGCACCGGAGGCTGGGGGATCACTGCTGGCCTTTTGAAAAAGACTCTGGGAATGTCTATCCAAATCTTGGTCCGCTGGACCCAGAAGATAATGGCAGCACAGAAAATCTTTAGGTGAAAGGAGCCCGCCATGGCATCGTTTAGCCTGGGGAGTGACTCAGGCCGTCCCTGAACTCTGGCAGCAGAGATGCCACTGTTTGGCCATTACAGATAGTTTTGCAGCGGGGTACCATGGACAGGGTTAGGGAGCCTGTTGGGTTCTGCTATGGGCTGAAGGTTTGTGTCCCCCAAAGCTCTCATGAATGAGGTCAGTGTCCTTGGAATAAAACTGCCTGAATAGACCGTGACGTATACCCATGGGACCCCACTCAAGGCAGTTGAAGAAAGAGGCGCATGGGCTCAGAGACCCATCTTGTGGTGTACAGGTGCATCTGTCAATGTAGGCTCCTCAGGACTCCTAGGTGGCTGGGGACAGGTGGCAACGTGTACCCTTTCATTCCTTCTGAATTTGAATTATGAGAATGGGCTGCCTCTTTGAAAAAATAAAATCTAAATGAGATAAAAGTAGTCACTGCAAAGAGCTGCCACGACAGGGACAGATTGTCCATCCCCTGTTGAGTGTGAAAGCAGACATCTAGTTTCCCCCAGAGGCTTAGACGGAAGGCGTGGAACGGGAGCCGGCACAGCCAGCGAGGCCCTCTTCTTAGGAAGATCCCAGGTCTCCCAGGAGCATGTCTGCTTTGTGTTACCAAGTGATGTGCCTTTAGGATAGAAAGTTTAGATGTCACTGGCGATCGCCTGACCCGAGATGTGGCCAGCGGCTGCTCTGGGTGGCTCTCCCGGGGTCCTGTGCCTCTAGCACCTTGAGCTGCTTTACAGTCAGGTGGGCTGTGGGGTGCGTCCCCAGGGCGGGCTGGCTGACGGGCTGTCTCTGTCTCTGCAGGAGCGCTGTGTGGCTGCCCTGGCCCGTGTGGAGCGCACTGACTTTCTGTCTCCCATGTGCATTGGGGAGGTGGCGCACGTCAGCGCGGAGATCACCTACACCTCCAAGCACTCAGTGGAGGTCCAGGTCAACGTGATGTCTGAGAACATCCTCACAGGTAACTCGCAGCGCTCCTCGCCGTGCCACCTTGGGTGGGAATGTAGACGCCTCAGCAGTGGCCACGATGGCTCAGGAGGCCGGCTGCTTTCCCTAATGACCCCCAAGTCCCATGTCCTGTCATACAGATGGGGGCCCAGACCACGCAGCCAGAGCAGGACGTAACCCTGGTCCCCTGCCTTCCCGTGGCCAGCTTGTCTGGACTGGGCACGGGAGTGGTCTGGGGGCCATTATCTGCCCGTGTCCTACTTGCCCTTCTGGATGGAGGACGCTGCCTGCCCCTGGGAGGGTCAGGCCAGCCTGGGTGGAAATCTGGCCTAGTGAGGAGCTTGTGGGTTGAACCTTTCTCTGCCTCAGGTTCGGCAGAGCCTTCTCTGTGGCCTTGGTAACCATGGAAACCCCTTTCCTCTTCCTCTTGCCCTCAGGAGAGCAAGGCTCCTCACACGCTCACACTTCTTATAACCAGTTAGTGGTGGAGAGGGTGCCTTTTCATCCCCGCTAGCCTGCGTGCTAGCCCTGCGTGTTCTGTGGCCACCTCGAGGCCCCTGAGGGTGGGAGGCCCTACCCCTGTTACTTGGCAGCGGAGGCCCTGCAGATTGCTGGTGCAGGGTTGTCTCGGGCTCCAGTCTCCTTCCTTTAAGGTCCAGGAGTGCCATCCGCCTGTAAGCCCAGTGGCTCGGGAAGCTGAGGCAGGAGGATCGCGAGTTCAAAGCCAGCCTACGCAACAGTGAGGTCCTAAGCAACTCAGTGAGACCCTGTCTCTAGATAAATACAAAAATAGGGCTGGGATGTAGCTTAGCGATCGAGTGCCCCTGAGTTCAGTCCCCCGAACCAAAAAAAAAGAGGTCCAGGAACAATGACCTCAGCAGGGCTAGTGATTGGAACAGGTTGCGTCAACCCAGTGACGGCACGGGGAAGGGCTCAGCAGAGCCAGCCCTGGGGAGGAGGACCGTCCTCGTTCTGCCCCACTCCCCAGTTAGAGCCCAGCATGCTGGCCTCGGAGGGACCCTTGGGTGCTAGTTTCAGGCTGTGGCACAGGGCCAGGCCAGGTGCAGGGTGGGGCCCCTCTGCCCGGTGGGCGGCCGGCCCTTCCTCTCCTGGGCCTGTCCTGCAGAGGGGGAGACGACCACCCTCACCTTTGCCTCCCGGTCCTCCTACTCCTCGTGGGTGGTTGTGGCCCTCTCCGGCTTCAGAAATGGAGGGCAGGGCAGGGCAGGGCTGTCTCGGAAGCCTCAGAAGCACAACCCTGGGCCCAGTGAACAGGACGGTACCTATTTGGGATGGGGAGAGGCAGGTTAGGACTGTCCCCAGCCGAGAATGGTCCTGCTCCAGGTCAGTGGTGCTGAGGCTGCAGCTCTGCCCTGGGTCACAACTCCCAGCAGCTCTGCTGGCTCAGGACCCAGAGCACCCAAGGGACATGTCCTTAAGGATCCCTCGTGTTTCAGGGTGAGAGTGGACAGAGGGGCAGGAGGCTCTGGCCAAGAGCCCACATTGGTGGGTTCAGCCCAGCCCTCTGCCCCCCCGCCCTGTAGGAATACTTCTCCGCAGGGTCCCTTCCCTGGTGTCCCCAGCATCCTGCCCCTGGGCTTCTCCTGCTCTGAGGCATGGGCACTGCTGGAGAGTTTTCTTCAGACAAAAAAAGGGGCTTGGAGGAAGCCAGCCACACTTGGCAGCTTTCTGGATGGGGCCATGACCTTGGGTTCTCCCTCCCAGGCTCACCCCTTCCCTGGGGCACAGGACTGGGGCAGTGTGGCCTTGGAGCCCAGAGGGGCTTGGCTTCTCTCCACATCTTGGCCATCCTGCTCCAGGGCCCTGGGGCAGTACTGGACGCCCACTCCTGTTCTGTGACCACGGGGCCCCTCCCTTCATCTCCAGGTCTCTCCACCTGTGGACCCCAAGGGGGTCTCTCTAGTTCCTCCAGGCCTTTCTCTCTGTCCTTAGATGTCTTTTTTTGCCCACGTGTCCACTGGAAGGTAAGCCCGTGAGAACTCTGTACACACGTGGCACATGGTGGTACTTCCTGGCTGAATGGGCGAGTGACCCTGAGGGATGTGGACGTGGGGGCCAGGGGACGGGGACGCACGTGGGCACCTGGAAAGGCTGACGCGCTGCTGGCCTGACCTTCTATGGCCCTCTCCTCACCCAGGAGGCAGGACCCCGTGCTCCAGCCCCTCGCAGGCCAGGCACAGCCCCCAGACCTCGGCCTTGAGACCCCGCTCACTCCAGCACCTGTCCAGGTATTAAGCCAACAGGGACTTGATGGCTGCAGGTTGCTCCAGAGAGTGGCGGGGGCTCTTAAGGCTCAGGAAGACATGTTTTCAACGCTCTGGATCTGGCCGTGGCTCTGTTATATGGTGGCAAACGTACAATTAATGTATTTTCTGTGGTGTTCATTTAGGTTTATCAGGCCACTCAGGTTTCCATGGCAACCAGCTCAGCAGGCTGGCTCTGGCGCGTCCAACAGGAAATCTTTATTCCCAAAAGCAGGTTGTCAGATTCACTCTCAGTCAAAGCGTGGTGGAAATATTTTCCCACAGCATTGGCTGTGGTTCCCAGCCTGGGAAGCGGTTGTCCCCGTGGTGGGGGTGTGCAGGGTGCGCTGGGGATGGCGATGGCGATGGCGGAGTTTGGAGCCGGGCTGGCCTCTTTCGTTGAGACCCCTGGGGCTTGGCTTGGGCCTCGCTGGAGTGTTGGAAGCCCGGGTTCCTGCTGGGGAGGCCCGTCAGAGGGCAGGGGCAGGCTGCGCTTCTCCCCGGCCCTGCTGCCCACCCTCGCTCTGGAGTCCTGCGCCACACCGGATCTTGCCTCCCCGTGTTGCAGCACCTCCTTTTTACTCCTTGTTTTGTGGCGCTGGGGGTTGGACCCAGGGCTGCAGGCACGCCAGGCAGGCTTTCCCTCTGAGTTGCACTCCGGCCAGGAGCTAGCTACCTTGGGTGTTTTTTTAAAGTTATATATATATTTTAGTTGTAGACGGACACAATATCTTTGTTTATTTATGTATTTATTTTTATGTGGTGCTAAGGATCCAACCCAGGGCCTCACACTGAGTGTGAAGTGCCCCACCACTGAGCCACAGTTCCCACCCCAGGGGCCTCTTTTTTAAAGGCATCCTTACAAATCCCGTGATTAACTGGGACCTGGGAAGCCTGGGTTTGCACTCAGTCACCAAGTTGCCATGTGACCCTGGCTAAACTGCTTAACAGCTTGGGGTTTCTTGTATAAATGAGGGATGTGGACCAGTGGTCTCCGAACTCTTGGCACCAGCAGGCCAGGAGCCATGGTGCTCAGCTCAGCCAGGCTGCCTGCCCTGGGGGCCCATGGCTGGCCTCAGTGCCCCAAGGGAGTGCACAGCCCACAGCCATGATGAGGCACTGGGGAGCTCTGGATTGGGGCTTTGGGTTGGCCAGCAGCAAGTGCCAGGGTCTGTGTGCAGGAGAAGGTTGAGGGAGTCCTGGGGGCAGCATCAAGGTGAGCTGCCTGCCCCTCCCTGGGGCGCTTGGCCTGGGTGCAGCGTGTCTTCCAAGCCTTGCCTCGTGTCTGCGTAGGCCGCCTGACTTTCTGGGTTCCTCTGCTGGCAGGAGTCTCAGCATGTCGAGACAGGTGGACAGTGTTCAGAAGATGCAGCTTATTCAGGCATTGAGACTTTGAGCTCCTCAGGGGACTTTGACACCTCATGTCAGCAGTGTGTCCTGGTGGGGATGAGAGCCAGCAAGTGAGTCAGCCCAGCCTGGCTCCTCCGCCACCCTGCTGGTGAAGGGAGGGGTCCACCTGCACCCGGCAGGTCCTTCCTCTGCCTGGGAGGCCCCTGGAGGCTTCTGACAAGTTTGTAATCAGACGGTCCCTCTGTCAAAACACCAGTGTGACTCTGTGTTAGAAAGCAGCCTCTGGAGAGGGAGACTCCCGTGGTGGGCAGCATGGGGAGGGGCTGAGGCTCTGGGCTTCTAGCAACAGTGCTGTGCCCTGTGCAGCCGCTGTGCATGGCTTGTGGGTCTCTGGTCCATGCTGCATGATGGCATGACCCAGGCCAGGAGGCAGAGAAAGACCTTGTGGGCTGGGGCCAGAGGAGATGGCACTGTGGCTCTGTGGTGTCCAGGGCTGGTGGCAGCCCCTGCCCATGCATCCCACTTCTCAGGGCGTCACTCACGTAATTTTCTTCTCTTAAGGTACCAAAAAGCTGACCAATAAGGCTACGCTGTGGTACGTGCCCCTGTCGCTGAAGAATGTGGACAAGGTCCTGGAGGTGCCTCCTGTCGTGGTAGGTGGCCCCTCACTTGTCTCAGGAGGCGTGCAGAGGCGAGGCCCTTGTGTGATGGTGGGAGGCCCCTTCAGCTGAGAGGCGTGGGGGAGCAGCACCCGGGCCCTGGGCCTGAGGGATGCCAGGCTCTTACTCTGAGGCAGTGGCGTGGGAGGAGGCCAGGGCATGGGTGTTGGTGTGTTTCCCCTCATGCTTGGAGCGTGAGTGCCAGTTGCCCAGAACCCGTAGGACCTTTGTGCCACACTTGCTACCAGGGAGGAGGCTGACAACAGGGACCGGAGGAGCTGTGTGTCCCGCCAAGAGCCAGGACCTGCGGGCTGCGTTTCAGGACCCGCAGAGCTGGTTTTCCGCTTGGTTCCTCGTGCAGAGGGCACCACGACTCAAATCCCTCTTGGGAGCCCTGCTCTCTCCCCTCTGCCACTGCCGTGTCGGCCTACCCTGTGGTTCCGCTGAGCAGGGAAGCTCCGGAGCAGCACGGCCATCCGTGTGCATTCCCGGGCCACCCAGGAGGCTGACGGGGTGCACCTCACCACGCAGAACCGTCGGAGACAGACACTTGGGAAGGGATTTTCACCCACTCCCTCGCTGTCCCCCCTCACCACCTCCTGGACTCTGAATCTGCTAGAACTGTGGTCACCTGTGACTAATAACTCTGAGGCTTAACCTATGAAGGTCTTAGGCCCGTTTGCTGCCCTCAGGAAGAGGCCGAGACCCTCAGGCTCAGCAGTGTCTGCTCGGCCACAAACTTCTTTCTTTCTTTTTTATTTATTATTATTATTATTTTTTGTGGTGCTAGGGATTGAACCCAGGGTCTTGTGCATGCAAGGCAAGCACTCTACCAACTGAGCTATAGCCCCAGCCCCATACTTCGTTCTGCAGTGGAGATTTATATGGAATCCACTTTTAGAAATGATAAATTGAGGGCTGGGGCCGTGGCTCAGTGGCAGAGCTCTTGCCTAGCATGTGTGAGGCACTGGGTTTGATTCTCAGCACCACATATCAATAAATAAGGTAAAGGTCCATCAAAAATTAAAAAAAAAAAAAATATTTAAAAAGAAATGGTAAACTGAATGGGGAGGGGCATGGTGGTATATATCTGTAATCCCAGTGACCCAGGAGGCTGAGGCAGGGGGATGGCAAATTGGAGGTCAGCCTCAACAGCTTAGCAAGACGCTATCTCAGGATACAGTGAAGAGGGCTGGGGGTGTAGCTCAGTGGTGGAGCACTTGCCCAGCACACACCAGGCCCTGGGCCTCCCCAGTGCTGCAGACCAACACAGAGCGGCCAGCTGAGAACCAGACTGTCTGGAGTCGCGCCTGCTCCTTTGCCCACAGACCCCTCAGAGAAGCCAACTGCTCTTGACACTACCCCCTGTTCCTTTCTCAGTGCCCTTTGCTCAGTGGGTCCCACAGGTGGGGTCTTCCCCAGGGGAGAGCCCTGCCCAGCTTTCAGTCTGGCCCTGGGTCCCCAGAGCTGAGAGGGATAGCTCCCTGTGGCCACTGTGGATGGAAGGCCATGGGGACACCCTGAGCCTGGCTTCCTGACACCTCTTGCTGCCCCTGCTCTATCTGACTGGGCCCCTGTGAAGCTGGTCAAGGCCTGGGTGTGGCATTTTTCAGGTGAGGGTAGCCAGCTGCTGGGTCCAGCTTCATGGTAGGCAACATTTCTCAAAAACGCCTGCTGGGCGCGGTGGCCAGCTTGGGAGGCTGAGGCAGGAGGATCCCAAGTTCAAGGACAGCTTCAACAATTTAACTAGGTCCTAATCAACTTAGTGAGACCCTGTCTCAAAAAATAGAAAGGTCTGGCATGTGGCTCAGTGGTTAAGTACCCTTTGGTCCAATCCCTGGTACCAAAAATTTAAAAATAATAAATAACAACAATAAACCAGCTTAACAACAGAAGACCCCATTCATGTTTCCTGGGAAGGGCAGGTAGGCCTTGCCTGGGTCAGTTGGCACTTACATGGTGAGAACAGAGGACAGCACCTCCAGGTTCTGGCTGTAGTGACCCTCCATCCCCCGCCAAATACCATGTGAGCAGAGTGACCACGGGTCCCTGTGAGCTGTGGAGGCAGGCAGCCCCTTGCAGCCTCCCTGTGTGTGTGTCCTGGGGCTACTGTGACCAAGTGCCAGGGGCCGAATGACTTCAAGGAGGTGGACTGGGATGCTGCTCAGTACTAATGGTGCTTGCTGGGCACGTGCCCGGGCCTGGGTTCAATCCCCCAGGGCTGCGCAAACAACAAAACCCCTAAGTATAGATGAGAAAAAAGAAATTTATTATTCCCTCTCAGTTCCAAAGGCCTAGAGCCCCAAGTCCAGGTGCAGCCAGGGCGGCCTCCCTCCATGTCCTGCCGCCTCCATCCTCTGGCGGCTGCAGGGCTCCTCTCCTGCCTCCACCTGCTCCCCCCAATGTGTCTTCACATGGCTTTCCTAGAAGGACACCAGTTGTGGAATTTAGGTCCTGTCCCTCTGCGTGTGACTTCTTAATTACATCTACTGAAACCCTTTTCCCAAAGTGTCCGCGTTTTGAGGCTGTAGGTCAGATGCGAGGGACACTGTTCAGCCCAGTGTGCTGCCCTCCCCCACCCTCCCTGGGTGGCTCTCCTCCCCCTGCTCTAGGCTGGGTCGCACGTGGCAGGGAGGCTGGCTGGCGTGGGCCCACAGGCAGCTCCCCGGGAAGTAGCCGGAGCCCCTTCTCTCTCCCCCCCGAGTGCTCGCTGGCAGGTCAGTTCCTCAGGTCAGTCCCCCAGGTACATACACACATACTCAAGGGCAGTTACTCACCTGGTTTAACTTTAAGATGCCGACAGGCCACACGTAGGCCTCAGCACACCTGCAGGGGACTCCTGGCCTGAGCGAGGCCGGGTTGCTGCCTTTTTGCTCATTAGGGCCACATGCTGCTGGCCAGGGGCCTGTGGCTCCCAGACTCCGTGGCTCCCGTCCCCTCCACACAGGGCCAGGGCCTCAGCACACACTTGGCCTGCGTCCCTTGCCCAGTCATGGTGCCCCCCACGCCCTGAGGAGCCGTAGCTCCTTCGGTGTGGCTGATGAGGCACAAATGCCACCCTGGCCCTCGCGGAGGGGTGCGGAGGGCCTGCAGGTGGGGCTGCTGCAGCTGTAATGAGGCCCCAGAGCTGATGACCTGTGGCCCAGCCCACAGTGGGGGCTGCCGCTGATCCGGAGCACAGGGCTGCGTGTTCTCTGGTTCTAGGAACGTGTGTGCTGGGAGCTTGGCCTCGGGGTACCCTGCCAGGACCCTGCCACCACCCCTCACAGGTAACCTCGGGTCATGTGAGAAGCCTCCATCTCTGTATCTAAACAGACGTCCGTGTGACATGCTCACACCCACGTGCACATGTGGATGTCTTGAGCACACATGGGCCTGGCTGCTGGCTGAGGGCAGTGCCATTTAGGGTACAACTGTGTCTCCATGCTGTACCTCCTGCCCTTGCCTGGCAGTGGCGGTACCTTCCCAGTGATTGGAACACTCAGCGGCGCTCTGATGACTAAGGAACCACAGACCTGAGAGGCCGCAGTGGCCTTGGGGGCTGGACGTGATTTTCCCAAAGGTCAGACTGGCTTGTGTTAGGAGCCTGGTCTGAGAGTTCTGGCCGGACTGCCTGCTGCTTCCTGCCGGCTTGGCCTGATGAGCCCCCCGGGGTGAGCACAGGCAGCCCTTCATTAAAATGTTCCAGTGGGGGCACTGGGGCTGGGGCTCAGCGGTAGAGCACTCTCCTAAAAATGCATGTAAGATGCTGGGTTTGATCCTCAGCACCACAGAAAAGTAAATAAAATAAAGTTATTATGTCCCACGGCAACTAAAATAATATACGTATTAAAAAAAAGTGTTCCAGTGGTTCCCAGATTTAAAGGCAGTGGGTGTGAAGAGCATGGGCCTCTGGCCTGTGGATCAGGCCCAGGTCTGGCCCTGTCAGTTTCCCCACGTGCCCACAGAGCGCTGGTGTGTGCTGGACACGGTGAGGGTTGCTTACATTGTCAGTTGGCTCTTTAAAAACAAACCAAAAAAAAAGGCTGTTTTTTTTTTTTTTTTTCCTTTCTTTTTTGATGGGCCTGGGGATTGCACCCAGGGCCTTGTGCACACTAGGCGGGTGCTCTGTCACTGAGCTGCACGCCCCCCACCTCTTTGAAAGGCATTTCTGAGGACAGGTGTTCAGCCTGCGATTTTACTGGGTAGACGTGGCCCATACTCTGCTCCTGCAGTCATTACCTGGGATGACAGACTTCAGGAAGCGTTCTCACGGAACAGGTTGGGTTCCCCGCGGCTCATTTCCTTCAAATAAACCCCTGCACTCCCTCCGTGGAGTGACGTTGGGACCCTCTCAGTGTTGGATCCGGGCCATTAGCAGGAACATGGAGCTGCTCACATCTGGCTTCAGAAAGGTCTCAGTGCAACTGAGATGAACTTGCTTAGAGGTCAGAGGGGCTTCAGTAGGGACAGAGGCACCCAAGGCTCAGCTGGAAATGCTGGCTGCGTGAGTAAAGGAGGAGGAGAAGGCAGGGAGGTGGTCGGCGGGGTGATAGTCAGTGGGGAGGCTGGCCCAAGGCCCAAGGGAAGGGCCTGGCTCACAGCCCAGAGGCAGAAGGCACTGGGCGAGGTGCATGAAGGGCTGAGATTGCCTGCAGCCAGCACACAAGACCCAGGCCCTTCTGAGGGTCCTGGGGAGAGACTGTGGCATGTCCCCTCCACTGGTGGGAGCGCGGTGGCTCTGGATGCAGCAAGTGAACACAGGACAGAGAAACCCAGTGTCCTGGTGCCCAGCACAGAGCAGCCTTGGTCTGCGTGACAGACTTTATATTCACGTTCACACGTTTTTCTCTTGCAGTACTGGGGACTGGACCCTAGGGCATTCTACCACTGAGCTACGTCCACACCCTTTTTATTTTTTTAGTTTGAGACAGGGTCTCGCTATGTTGCCCAGGGTGGCCTGGCTAGTGGTCCTCCTGCCTCAGTCTCCTGAATTGCTGGGACTTCAGGCGTGGCCACACTTAAATTTTTAACTTCTTGGGTCAGAACCCCCATGGTCCATTAAGAGCTTTGTGTCTGTGTCAGCCCTGGGTGCCCTGCAGAGGTGCGGCCTGTCAGGGGAGAGCTGCCCAGGGTCAGGACACACAGGCCCTGAGACTTGGCTGTCTCAGTTCCAGGAATGCAGCAGGTGCCGACAGATGAGGAGCGATGAGGGTGCTCAGCGTGGTGTTATCTCAGTGGTGAAGGATGGGGAGCAGGCTGGGTGGCCAGACAGTAGACCAGTTACAGAACCACGTCACGGTGGAGCGACGTTTAGCCTCCATGTGAAGCATGACACTTCTTACATATTCACAGGAGATTCCAGGAAGGACCTGAGCCACACATGCAGCCCTGCTCCTCTCTGTATTTGTTCCTTATCAAATATGTTATCGGGAAATACGGTAGATCCAGTTACAAAAAAGCCAGATAATCCTCCCACCCCTGTCCCTGAGGCGCGAGGAAGGCCATCGTCCCCACCCAAGGCCTGACCCTCGCCTTGTTTCCCCAGTATTCCCGGCAGGAGCAGGAGGAGGAAGGCCGGAAGCGGTATGAAGCCCAGAAGCTGGAGCGCATGGAGACCAAGTGGAGGAATGGGGACATTGTCCAGCCCGTCCAGAACCCAGGTGGGACTGGGGGAGGGGTGGTATCTTTGGAAAATTAGGCGTGATGGACAATGAGTCGCTCCATAGCGGTGATATCCAAGACGGGCCTGGCCGTCTGTGGTCACTTGAGAGTGTCAGGTCCCTGTCACTTGCAAGGCCCTGGGGCACACACTGCCAGCAGTGACCCTGGGCTCCGGCTCTGCTCCTGGGAGGGAGACCAGCCGGCAGATCAGACGGGCCCTGAGGCCTAAAAGGCGGCCTGGCGGGCAGGATGTTCCTGGGAGAGGGAAGCTGGCAAGGCCTGGATGGTGTCCCCAGAAGATGAGAGCACACCCAGACCCCTGGGTCCCGAGCACAGGACCTCACGTGGGGAAAGGGCCTTGGCCAGTGGGGTTAAGTTACAGTCAAGAGGAGAACATTCTGAGTTACCCAGGTGGGCCCTGAATCTCAGGAGAGGAGACAGTGGCGGGCCCTGGTGGCACAGGCCTGTAATTCTAGCCACTCCAGAGGCTGAGGCAGGATCGCAGGTTTGAGGCCAGCCTCAGCAGCTTAGCAAGACCGAGTCTCAAATTATAAACAGAACAAAACAGGGCTGGGGATGCAGTGCCTTGGTGGAGTGCCCCTGTATTCAGTCACAGGCGTGTGGCCTGAGAGCAGCAGAGGGGAGGGGAGGAGAGGGGCGGGGTGGGGCTGCATGGCATTGGGGTGCTGGATGGCCTCTCCCTGAGCAGTTTCTGGGGAGAGCTTGGGGTGGGAGCCAGACCCCAGGGGCAGAGTGGGCAGCAGGACAGCCTGCCTCTGGCTGTGAGAACCCCGAGGGCAAACCCTGGCTCGCCCCGTTCCCCGACCAGCTGGCCAGTGAAAATTAGGGTTTTCAGTGAATCAACTTTTTTATTCAAGAGTATTTTCCGCTCACTGTGCCCTGATTTTAACCCTGACGTGTTACATTTTTCAGAATCTATCCTTTTCCCGCTGTATTAATCAAAGGGAGCATTCTGAGCCCCTTACCCCACACTGGACGGAGGAGGCTCTTCCTTGCCTAGAGGGTCGCCCGGGTTCTGTGCTGGTTTTCTGTACCCCTCCTGAGGAAAGAGCATGGAGGAGTGACGTCTACCTTGATAGGACTGTATTTTGACTATTTTTTTTTAACTGTGGCTATGGTTATACATAGCAGCTGGGTTCATCCCCCAAACTCATACATGCTTGGGTGGAAACTGATTTTAGTTCATGGTCCCTTTTGACTTTTTTCTGCTAGTAGAGCCCCTTACAGATATTTCAGTAGCAGCATTGAGTGACTGAAGCTCCATCAAGGCACTTGCCACTCTTGGAGTTGTTTTGGTGACAGCCATGCCTGGTGGAGGACAGGAGGGTGGGAGGGCTGGCCTGGCAGATGGGACTGCGTCTTCCTGGGCCAGTCCAGGGACTGGGGCTGGCAAAGTAGATTACGGACGATACGCTTCGTGCTTTTTATAAAATTGGAAATGAAGTATGACTGATTACATCCCAGTGGAGGGCCACGTGCCACCCAGGGACCTTACAGCCAAGAGGGAGGGCCATGTGGGGCGTTGCCATCCCCAGAGTATATTTTGTGAGCCCCTGGTCCTGGAGAGCCTTCCCTTCAGCAGATGTGGCCTGTTGGGGACCACAGTTCCCTTTGGAGAAATCCTATTTAGGTTGACACAGTTGGACACCTTTATGACCCACAAATGTCATTGGGCAGCTGCAGAATCGCTGTCCTGGGCCGAGGGGGTTGGTCCACCTACAGTTCCTCTCTGTCTTTGCTGTTCCAGAGCCCAACACCGTGAGCTACAGCCAGTCCAGCCTGATCCACTTGGTGGGGCCTTCGGATTGCACCCTGCACGGCTTCGTGCATGGAGGTAGGGTGAGGTCACTCTGGTTGCACCCCTTTTCCCTGTCGCTGCCCCCATGCGTCCCCTGGGCAGCCGGGCTGCTGTCTGACCCAGTTGAGGCTCTTGTGTTTAGTGAACTATGAATTTACACTTCTAGGAGGTTGTATAAGAAATTGCTGAACTACTGTGGGTGCCCATTTTAAAACTGGAAGTAAAGGATGGTTGACTAGAGCCTGGGGCATGGTCACACGTGACCCTGGGTCCTCAGACTTGCAAGGTGAGTTTTAATAATGGCCTGTCGGTCAGGGGCAGGGTCTTGCAGGGGTGCAGTGTCCCCAGAGAAGAGTGCTATGACAAGCAGGTAATTAAACATGCTTACGTTGTTTCAGGTAAGCACAGATTCTGCCTCTGACACTGCAGGACTGAAGTCCTTGCCCAGGATTCCCTGGGTGTGGGAAATGCTGCCCCCACCCAAGCAGCTGGGCTCCAGGTTCAAGGAGGGGCATTTTTTATCTTAACAGTGGGTAATATTTTTATGTGTGTGACTTAACTCAGAAACGGGTGTTGACATTTGGGTTGGGACTAAAGTAAACTTTAAAAAGCAAGTTGATTTGGAAAGTAGGAAGTAGTCAGTGGTGCGGGCGGCGGCAGCCAGTTGGAGGAGAGGTGGGGGATCCCGCCGGCTGCCGTCCTGGGTGTGCTGAGGCCCTCGTTCCTCATTCCTCCTGGCTCCTCAGGCGCAGCGGGTGCGCTCTCAGTGCTGTTCACTTGCTTTCTCATTTCCTGGTACCTGGAACACCAAGTTCTCCTTTCTTTGCTCAGAGAACTCCTGCTCATCCTTCAAAACCCAGCCCTGTGGCTCCTCTCTGTGCAGGTTGACACTGATATTTGTGCCAAGAATTCCCAGGAGCAGGCTTTGTGTTGGCTCCAGTGCTTCACTCTGAGCCCTGGAGGCACTTGGCGGGTCCTCATCCCGTGAACAAGCGACATAGGTTCCTTTCAGCTTGAGGACTGATGGTCCCAGGCCTGTGGGAGAGTGGGCCTGGATTCGAGGGAGTGTTTCCTTTCCTCGGTTTCATCATGCTTTTCTCTTTGCACACCTCCGGGGTGGCTGTCGGTGGGTCGGATTAGCTAGTCTCACACAGGGCATCTGTTCTAACAGGAGCGCTCCAGGCCCTGCGGAGCGCTACCTTGAGAAGCCCCGTGGCCCCTGAGCATTCCCAGCCTCGCGTCCTCACACCCCCTGTCCCTCGCCCCTTCTGCTTCAGGTGGGCAGCAGCCCCGTCTTCCAAGCCAGCCATCCCAGGCCCCAGCTGCTGGAATTGGCAAGAGTTGTCCTCGGCTTCCTGTGGCTCACCTGAGGACCGTGAGCCTTGTGCCAGGACGTTGGCGTGCCGTGTGCACTGGTGGCGCTCTCCCCAAGGGTGCCTTCCGCCATTGCTGCCGAGTGGAGGGCGTGCGTCCTGAGCCAGTGTTCTCGCCTCACGTGTCCACAGCACTGCTGACCTTCCGTGGCCGATGGGGCAGCCTGGTGGGCTGGGGCTTAAGGCCACATCGTCACCACCACAGGGAGCACTCATCTGGGGACGTCCTTTGGTTATAGGCTGCGGGGGCCCTCCTCTGAGTTTTGCATGTCTGGCCGTGTCCTGGCTATGTGACATTTTATTTATTCTATTTTATTTTTTAGTTGTAGTTGGACACAATACCTTTATTTTATTTATTTATTTTTACGTGGTGCCGAGGATTGAACCCAGTGCCTTGCACGTGCTAGGTGAACACTCCACCGCTGAGCCACAACCCCATCCCCAAGTGTGGCATTTTAGGGAGTCGATCTCCCCATGGGGCTGCCAGGCACTGCTCCATGTCTTGTGGATTCCATGGTTTCTGCTGGGAAGTCCGGGGATTGGATTCTGCCCTGAGCTCTCTGGCCACCCCTCAGCTGCCTGTCAGCCTGGGCTTTTCTCACTTGCACCTTCCACCCCATCCCTGGTCTTCAGCCAGCACTGATACTCCATGGGACACTGGTGCCCTGGGCACACTGCTGCGGCCTGAGGTGCTCACGGGAGAGCCACATCTGCTCACCGGGCCTCACCAGTGGTCGGTATGGCTGAGGGCCCCAGAACTGTGCAGAGCTCTTGCTGTTGTCTAGAGACCCTCTGGGGAACTGCTGCCCTGGAGGACAGTCCCCCAGCACCGTGGCTGGGCTCACCTAGTCCATCGTGAGGAAATTCTTGTCCCGCCTGCAGTCAGCTGAGATGGCCCCCCTCTACCTCAGGTGTCTTCTCTGTGTGGAGCTGGCCCTTCCTCTGGCCTCGGCCTTCCTGGCCCCTTGTGTTTGTGTTTCCTCCGGCCCCTCAGATCTGGTCACCTCTCTGTTGACACGAGTGGAGGTTGTGGTCTCTCCCTGGAAGTTGGGGATCTGCAGCCTCATCCCCACAGTCCCCCAGGCCCAGGCCTGCTGAGGAACTCTAGGCCTGGAGCACGTGGCCCGGATGCTGGGGTGCTGGAGACCTCAGCCCTGGAGAGGAGGGAGCGGCAGGGTGAGGGGCTCCTTCTGCTGGTCAGAGCTGTTTCCTAATTCTGGATGCTCATCCTGGGACACCTGAAGGAACAGTGTGGTGCCCTTCTCCTGTGAACTATTTGAAAAGGGCTGGAAGGAAGGGAACCTTTTCCCTACAGTTGCCCATTGTGACTTCCCTTAATGACTGGGAAGGGCCCTTAAAACTAGGACAGGAGACGGGGTTAGAGTTTTAGTTAGGAATGAACTGGGCACGGCAGCTCTGTTCCTCGTGGTGGGCACCACTGCCCCCCGGACCACCCTGGTGAGGGCCTGGGCCTAGCCACTGCATGCCTGTGGGGGCTTCTGTCATTTCAGCCAGGACGAGGACAAAGTTGATCCTCATCCCAGGGACATCTGGCTCTGGTACTGGGTCTTATAGCAGGAGAGCAGTGGAGGGCGGTCATCTCTGGTCTCAGGAAGGAGCCTCAGTTTCACCCATCACATTGGGTCTTGGGTAAAGCTGGCTCCACTCGAGATGCACATCCAGCCGGAGTCTCCTGGGAGGGGTTTGCTCCACCCCTGTGTGCTGGGAAGCATGGAGGGGGGCTCTTGCAGCAGATTACAGCCCTTCTGACCCCCAGGAATCTCTTCTGCTTTAAGAGAACAGGTTCCCAGCCCTTCTCCGGGAGGGCCGGCTCCTGCAGGGCCAGGCCCTGTGCTTTTAGTCAGGAGTGCCCTGGCTGGTCCTGACGACTCAGGACCTCAGAGCCCACAGCTGGACGATGCTGCCCTCGGCCTCAGGAGTTCTGGAAGCCCACCTGGAGTCCGCCCCACAGTTTTCTGTCACCACACTGCAGATCCACTGCCCCACATGGTGGGCGTTGCATAGCGCAGTGGGGAGATGCTGGGCACCTGCATGGGTGTGTTGTGCTAGGGATCTTACCCCAGTGTGGCTGCCCCAGGTCTGTCCTCAGCCCTCTCTGCCCCACTCCAGTCCAGAGCCTCAGTCACTTCCTCCCCGTGGCAGCTGATGTTGTCTTTCAGCTGGGACGTCTGGCCCCTGCTCTGGCGGCCCACGGGCCCCTTGGCCTCTCTCCATCTCCTCGCCCGCCCATTCCTCTCCTGACCTCTGAAGCTCTGTGCGGAGGCCTGTCCTGGAATCGCCGTCTGCCGCAGTCAGACTTACCCACCTGGGCCTGTTTCCTTTCTGTGAGGGAGCTCTGCGGTGGGGAAGAGCATTGCTAATCTCTAATCCTAGGCCCAAGTGATCCTCCTGTTCCGGCCGAGTGCCGGGAACTGTGGGCGGGCACCGCCTAGGGCCACAGAGCGCCTAGGGTTGCTGATTCCCAAGGTGGGACCTGCGAAGCCTGAGCAGCCAACAAGAAGCAGCACCTAGAAACTGGGAGGCCCTCTTCCAGGCCACTGGTCCAGGAGGAAGTAAGAGCTGGACTTAGAGTGTCCTGAAAACAAGGACATCTGGGAAGATGGCTGAGATGTTCCCAGAGGAAAAGTGGGAGGCTTTGAGCCTGTGTTACTTAAAAGGAAAAATTAAAAATACCCAAGTGTTGGAACTGGGAAAAGATAAAAAAGTCCACCCACAGAAGGGACGAGGGAGGACGGGGCCTGAGAGGCTGCCTTTCCACCTCTGTCTTGCCAGTCCAGGTCCCTGCTGTCCCAGCGCCCTGGCCTGTGCTGGGTGCCCACCTCTTCCACGCCGCCTTGGCTGGGGGTGTGCACCCTGCCGGCCATGAAGCCACCCCTGGGGCTCCCCTCCCTGCAGCAGCCCTGCTGGCATCCAGTGCAGAAGGTGGGTGTGAGGTCTCTGACTCCAAAGAGGGATTCTGCCTGCATTTCTGAGCTCAGGACCCAGGCCATTTAGATCACGCCTGTATCTCCAGCCGAGAGCTACCCAGTGGGCCCTGGATCGGGAGAGTAGATGAGGACCCTCCCAGTGTAAGAGGAATCTCTGACCAGCCCCTGGGTCATTGCAGAATGTGGTGCTGGCTTAAGGCCACAGCATTTATGGGCAGAGGACACCCCATCTCTGCTGGTAGGCAGTACCCATGTCCTGGGATCCTGCATTCCCAGGGGTCTTGCTGACTCAGGGGGCTCCTGGCTCTGTAGCTAACTTGCTTTTACAAGAGTGACGGGACAGTGACTGTCACAAAGCTTTTCGTCATCCAGGCTCGTGGAGCTCCATTTATGGAACTGTCCTTGATCTACAGTGACCAGCAGGGCCCCTGCCCAGGTGGACACAGCCCCTGAAGGGCAGCAGCGGGAGGTCAGTCTGCTTTTCCCTGGTAGGATGGGTCAGATGCTTCCTTTCAGGGTCACTTCTGAACACCTCCAACAGCCAGAGCCAGGGGCAGATGCAGAGCCTGTGTTCACAGTCCCCACCTCCAGACCTCCCCGCCTCCCCTTTTGCCCACTGTGGCACTTCGGTCCCCTACCCTTCCCTCCACTTCCCATCTGCTTCAGGCTGCAGGGCCCCATCCTCCCCCACCCTCCCCTCCTCCCTGGCCACATG